GCTCTTCTTTCTCTTCTCCATGCTCAGTGTGGTCCACACGACACAAAGGTTGAGTCAACTTTTCTCCATTTTAACTGGCTGCAAGTGTGATTTCAACCTGTTGGCTGCTACAGGTGAGTGTCATTACAAATTAAAGGAGCATCACATGCTTGAAATACAACTATTCCTGATGGTTTTGAAAAGGTGTCAGTAATTCTGTCCAGTCCATTTGTGGAGTTATTTTTTCCGGCTTTAAAAAGTTCCCTTCAGGGCCACATGTGACAACATGCTACCAGTTAACACATACTGCTTTATGATTAAGCAGTATGTGTAAACCTCAACAGACTACCCCTTTAACCTGTAATGAGACTAATCCCTGCCCACGGCGCTGCCTCAGGTGGATATGAAACTGTGTAGGACACTAAATATCTGATAGATACATTTACTCCCTGGTTACACATGCTCCTGCTCATTAGTGCTATAATTTTCATTTCAACTTTTAAACAACCTACATCTCAAAGTTGTTGCAGTCATTCCACCATAAGCTTCCCTCAGTAGAGCTTCTCAGCAGGGCTGCCCACTGAATGCATACAGTCTTGTGTCCCACCTGCTGCGATGGGTCAGCAGCAGCAACATCGCCATCAGCTGGGAGGATGTGGGCTCAGAGCGGATTACCAGAGAGACGAGTATTATTGTGTGCCTAAGGGGATCGGGATACTACTCTTTATGTGTCACTAATCGAACGTCGGAGGAGACTTTCTCCAGCAGCGGGCACTCAGTGGGCCAGCAGGGCCAGGGTTTCAACAGTGACAGCAAACAGAGTTCACTTCTGAGCTCTAGATTTCTGGCAACAGGGTAAAAGAATCATTTTCTCAGGCTTTATCAGTATCTGTTTACATGCTGCCTCTTGCATGATTCGGGTGAGTAAGCTCATTCTTTCAGTTGTTATTGCACTGCAGTATGTGCTCAAACACATTGAGCTCTTCATCTTCATATTATGCCTTAGGTATTTTCATTGTAAGAGCTTTGGGTGATTAAATCATCTATGGTTGATTTTGTTTAGTGCCTCTTATTTCATGTACAGAAAAATACTAGATTTGAACTGAGAGTATATAAAAGTTTCTTACACAGTTTGATACACTGGTACTCGAATGCTGTAATGTTCCAGTAACAAATGCAGGTATACATTCCTCTACATCCTCCATGATCCTCCATTGTGGGCTAAGCGTTTAGTGTTGTTTCAGTGGTTTGGATTAACACACAGCTCCCCTATAGCAGTCCACAAACAGATTAGTAGTAGCCCAACTCAGGGCCTGACTGGACCATCTGGACCCAGCACTGGGTGGGGATGCAGACAAGGGGGAGGAGTGCAAGCAGATGTTTCAGGGAAGCTGTAGGTCAGTGTGGCAGTGGAGCCGAAGGGTGTCACTGTAAAGACAACAAGATCACGTTTCTCTGGTTTAAATATCTCAGTGACATACAGAGTTCAAACCACACCACTCTGCCATGACTTTAGGATGCTGTCTCACATCCCAAGGTACTGTATAATTTACCGGGCTTTAATTGAGCTACATGTACCCTCTCATTTCTTTGTCTGAGCGTTGTCACAGGAGATGATTAGATGAAGTGTTTGTGTCCTCAGCTGCTGATGGAGGCGTCTGCTTCATTATTTAGCTTGGTTAGTTTATGGTACAACAGTTCAGCTGTGTGAACGCCCTGCATGCTGCTGCTGCATTTTCTGTTCATCAGGAAAGTTCGGTGCTCACAGTTTGTACAATAAGCTTTAATTTAGCACTGAACAAAGTGAGTTCTGCTCAGTGTAAGCACACCTGCTTCCATACTGCAGGAAAGTTTTGCTTATCTAAGTGTGACTTAATCCAAGTGTGACTGACATCTGCGGCTATGTGAATGTGGGTGTAAGGAGGTTTGACTTGTCTCCTGTCTGGGCCAGTACTGACTAAATTAAAAGGCAGAGGATGTTTAGGATTCAGGCTTTCATCCCACCTTCTCCTGGCCTGCAGGGCTGATAGCGGTAAGGTTATTGGAGGGACGATCCTGCTCCAGATGGGGGGGAGAAGGACTGGGAGATATTGATAGGCTGTGTCAGGCTAGAGATAAGAGAGCGCATGATTTCACCTCATCCGGAGGGTTCACAGGATGATTATGTGAGGAAGAAGGAGGAATGTCTTTTCAACACTCAAAAGAAAAATGTGAGACTAACTATTGTTTTTCTTCTCACCTGAGGCCATGTGGCTCATTTGGCTCAGTGCAGCCATGTCAAATAGCACTCAGCCTGGCTGTGAAAGGAGGAGAAAGCTGCTGAGAGCTTCAGTGAGATGACCGGGGGCTGATGTGTTTTCTTTGGCCTCATTTGGGCCAACAGCTGACCACTGCTCTCCCATTAAACGGTTTCCCCATATGGACTTCTCTCTCCATGAAAACCTCTTTAAAAGCCTTTCATGTCCTCTTCTTTTGTTGTACAAGCACAGTCTCGTTTCACTAAAAGTCACAGATTTCACTGAGCAAGGTGAAAGGAAGCACTCCTGTGTGGTTCACCCAGGGGAAGATATAAACAAGTAAAAGTTGAGCGGAGTCAGGCACAGAGTGTTGTAGTTTTTGTTGTTTTCAAAGGGTTTTATAATGTGCTTGAGACGTTGAGGGCGTCATGGCAGGGCCAGCAGGTCATATCTCAGTAGGGATGCAGGCTGACAAACCGCTTCACAGGGCTCACACCTCCTTCACTGGGTGCTCACTTTTGTCACCACACTTAACAGCAGAAATGCATGTGCTGTATCATGTTTGTCATATTGTGCGCTGGTGTTAAGTTGTGTATTACCTCACATATTCTGTACAAATGCAGATGTCAGAATAGATGAAAGCCCCCTTAAAACCATGCCTTGTCCTTTTAACCTTTTTGTTTGTGTGCAGATTAAACAAGATATGTTTGTTTAGTTTTTTGTTTAGTCAAGTTAGCTAATGGTAGCTATATCTGGCTAAATATAGTTATTTATGCTAAGATATGCTAACTGTCTCTCAGCTACGTAATTAGCACTCAGACATGAAGTGGGATCAGTCCTCTCATCTAGCTCCCACTCATCTAGCTCTAAGATATTATATACAGAACTCATCAAGATGACTATTCTTTAAATAAAAGTGTTTTTCCTAACAGAACTTCTTTTAGCCTTTGTTACAGTGTGCCTGAAATTATTTGTTTGGACATGATTGTTATGTAAAAGTACAACATGATCTGATGAATCACACTACAAAACCAGACCAAGACAGTAAACAGTAACATTGCTTAGTGCTTTTCACATGTTCACAATACACGGGTAAAGCAAAACATGGAAGTCAATGAGAAATGTCTGGTTGAAGTAAAACAGCTAGAAACACAGTGCTGCTTCACATCCAGGATGTAAATGTGCTCCTTGGTGAGTTCAGCCCCAGCGTCAACAGCTGCACAGGCAACGCTGTGCAGAGCTTGTTTTCAGGTCAGCAGGGTCACGGCAGACGGCCTTTACCTCACTTTGGAGTATTTTATGGAAAACGTCAGGTTGTCTCTGACTAACAGATAAATAGAAATAGACTGCCTCTCCTAGGGAGTGCATGCATAACACCGTGTTTCTCAGTATTCACAGTAGTAGTGCTGCTATTAAAAGATGATCTGACATATGCAGCAGTTTGATGAGCAGCACGCTGAGTCTTTGGTGTGATGCTGCGCTTGCTCTATCTGACATCTGATAGCAGTGATCGGAGGTGGAACTGTGTCTTTATTGAGTTAAAGAGGCTAAAGTTAGCTTCTGGCTGAACTACAAAGCAAACTTTGTAGACCTGTCAGCAGACATGGAGGTCAGACAGAGTGTGTTTCAGTAAAGCTGCCAGGTCAAGTACAAGCCCAGAACCGTCTGCCAGGTAAGGGAAGGCTGACAGATGTGCTCAGCTGCTGAAGCAAAGGCTCAGCAGTGTTAATCATCAGGGTATTTCTCAGATTCTCCTACAGATGTGTAACTCAGGCCACTGTCTGACTAAAACAGCCTTATCTTGTGCTGCGTATTGTCTAACTATACTGTAATTTTTACACTGTCATTTCTGCTTCTAAAAGCCACTGTGTACATTTGGCCTTATAGATTTGTCTAAGGAAGTGTTTCCTTAGTATTCAGCCATATAATTATTTATCTTATTTAAAGCACACATACCAGTAACCACGTGCATTTCAAGCAGTCAACATTTGAATACGCAAAAGCATGAATACTGTATAGCTCCTTTCAAATTCAAAACTTTCCCCCTCATCCAGCTCCCCACTCCCCCAAGGAATTATGTGTAATTTGAGAGGTGAGTATCTCCCTCCCTATAACCTGAGAAGGTGTGGGGGGGTGGGCAGTGAGATTAGTCCAGGTCAGTGTTCAGATGATGAAAGTCACAGTATCAGGTTGCATTAATACCTATCGCTTGGCTGCAGGTAATAGCATTACACTACAACATCAACAAGCTGTTGTCCCGATTATCCTGCTTTTCTTTCTCGGGGTTAAACTCTAGTATGAGTCTGGTATTTTAAATGTCCTTTATTTTTTTTACCCCCAGCTGCTTTCATGGTTCCCTCCTGTTGCCATAATGGAAAGATCTTTAGTTATAGCCTGTGGAGCCAGTGGAGTTCACCTTAATGATGTTAACCAGTGTATCACCACAAAAGTGCCAGTAGAAACTTAAAGATTTTCTTACCAATCCCCATTGAGCGCAGCAGGCTGCCCCTGTGATGAAAGCAAGTTGCCTTTCCATTACATTTGCTGGTATGAACAGCGTTTGCAGAGTCCTGTGACATGTGCCGTACCTCATTTATCAAAGCGATATTAAAGAGTAGTTGAGGAGGTAATGTGATCTGCACTAAACAGAAGCTTGGTGATCACATCATAATTATACTTTTTTGTTGTTTTTCTGCTGCCTTCCACCAGAACTCAGTCCAGTAACTTGCTTCTGTTTGCATAAACTTTATTTATCGTCTGACCCGGTCTGTCTCTTTCTGACAGCGGTGTCAAACCTGGATGTGGAGAGTAAGCTGACAGCACATTACCAAGCTCCCTGGCATCAACAGAGGAATGTTTTCCACCCTTCCATGCGGCCAGCATGTGTAGAAGAGCTCCACAGACAAGCCAACCTCAGCCTGTGGGCCCTGCATGGAGGTGAGGCCCCTCAGCACCACTCAGCCACAACACTGGAGAAAAGCCAGCTGCTTTTATATCTACTCTGTCATTCCCAGCTCTCCTTTTTATTTTACATGCCATTTAAAATCTTTTTTGTGTGTTTACTTTGTGTCCTACATAATTTAAAGTCACCTTTGGGTTGCATTATTCTTCCCACTATAAGGCTTGTTTGTTCTGTTTCTGGTGTCGCTCTACCCTCTAGTGGACACATTTTGCAATTACATCCTGGAAAGCTGAAGTTGAGTGTAGAATGAGGCATTAGATGACATGTACTGCAAATATGCTTTCACATATTCACAGCGAGAAGGTTCCGGGTTCCGGCCCCACCTGGAACCTTTCTGTGTGGAGTTTGCATGTTCTCCCCGTGCTTGCGTGGGTTCTCTCCGGGTACTCCAGCTTCCTCCCACAGTCCAAAGACATGCAGCTTAGGTTGATTGATGTCTCTAAATTGCCCATAGGAGTGCATGTGTGTGTGTGGTTGTTCGTCTATGTGTTAGCCCTGCGATGGATTGTCCAGGGTGTACCCCGCCTTCACCCGATTGCCGGCCGGGCTTAACCAGTAATCTACCACAACTCCCAACAGCTATGACTTTTGTTGCCCACCTCAAACACTGAAATTGTGTTAGTAAGAGTCAGAGACAGTGACTCTGTCAATGTACTGTACATATGGATATGTGGGGATTATTTTAAAACAGAAGAATGTAGACTTTTGAAGCATATCAACTTCCCCTTCAAGTCAGACTGTGTCATATGTGTGAGTATGTGGAGAGGTTACACGTTTCTGTTCTTTATGTGATACTTGTTGCAGATCACCAGAGGCGCCAATCAGGCGGCAGGGAGCGGAGAGTAACCATCTCAATCTCAGCTGTGCCCCCGATGCCCATGTACCCCAAGATGGGCACAGATTTGACAACGGTGAGAGGGCTAACATCTCATTACCTCCAAACATTTTTTCTTCTCTATATTTTACATTTTAATATGACTTTTAGGACGTCAGGGAGCAACGGACCGACTTTTGTTTTGTTTCATTACTTATCAGATTAAATCACCAGCCTGTCTGTCCATTAGTAGTCCAAATGAAACTTCTCTCTGTGACCATGTAGAAGTATATGACAGCATTTTGCGCTGCCCCTCTTTTTGATAATGCCTTTATTTTGCTTCTTAAGCACGGGATTGAATTGTTACTGAATGTTAATAATTTGGTACTTTGAATATTTCTTAATGGCATGACTGTGCACTTCTGTTTTTGTAAGTGTTCGTTTTTTGTTCTTTAAATAAACTTTTATTAGATAAGGATGAATTACATATTTGCAGTGCACAGATTAGTGATGTAGTTTTGAAGTAAAATGGACATGTTCCCTTCAAGCAGCCTGAGAGACGTTTTAGAGATGCAACAGCCCAGTTGGCACAAACACAGGTAAAGAGAGAAACGGACTGGTTGTTTCATCACCTTGAGAATAAATGTGGCATCAGTCATTCAAGAAGGTTTCTTCAGCCCTGTCTCAAATAAACTTCACAGTCCACCTACATTTAGATTGTGTTGTCTTGTTTTATCCACATGTTCTTATCTTGAATATCTCCATGTTCATTTCTGTCATGTGTTTTGTTGTCTTTATTGTTTCTTTGTTTTTGCCCTGTAATTTAGTTTGAATCCACCCGCTCCTCCTCCCCCACCGAATGTTGCCACCTCTCTCCCTGGAGCAGAAAGGTATTGGTCCCTCTTTCACTCTCCTCTGGCTCCTGTGTTCCCGTCTAACCCTGTTTTTCACTCCTTCCCTCTTCCTGTGTGTTTAACTTTTTCTAATTTACATCATCTTCTCTAATGCACACCCAGTGAATGCAGCTTTTCTCTGGCAGAGGTAGCAATCTGCTCCACCCACTTAGGATCTTGGAGTAACCTGTTTGTCGTGAAACCAACAAAGAGCATCAGTTTAAAGGTTCACCCACACCGTCACATGATACATTTACCTGCTAAGACAGATGCTGTTACTTGTTCACGGGAAGGGCTGGACTCTGAGCTGCAGTATGCGAGGAATGTGTGTGTGAGGGCTACAGATGCCCAGCAGCCTGGGTTTCTCTAATGATAGGCTCGACTTCTCCAAAGCCTGTGCCTGTGATTACCCATGATTCCTCTGTGCTGTGGTTTCCACAGTGCACCCATCCCCAAAAAAGCTGACGGCGTGATGTTTCTCTTTCTCCTTTCACCAAATATATCATGCTTGATGCCTGCTGTTAGGAAGAAAGGAGCTAGTGAAGAGGGGCAAGCACTCCTTTTTTCTCTAATCCTGTATGTGTCCACTCTTATTCCCTTTCCTTCAGTTTCTTTCTTTCACCCTTTCGTCTCGCTCATCCTTCCTCTCAGAGACTCCTTAAACTGCCTTTCTGTTCTCCAAAAAAATCTGCTGTAAATGGTCTTCTTTTGATTTCTTTTTTTTTTTAAAGTTTCCACGGAAACGGGTTTCTTTTGTGGCTGGGGTTTTTGTCAGAGTCTCATTGGTCTGCTGGGAGCAGAGAGCACAAAAGGCTCAAGAGCTGGTTTTAAATGGGGGTGGGAGGTTGTCGGGTTGTGGAGGTGGGAACCAGTTCAGCCAAGAGAATCATTCCCAGTTTCACATGTGTCTCTCTGTAGGAATCTCAAGGTAAGAACTTAATAGACTAAATTCACTTAGGAGGTATAAGCTCTAGGGAAGCTACTGTATTTCAGGGCGAGAGTCTGAGGATGCCTGTGGAGTTGTGGAGTATTCAGAGGGCAGGACTGTGCAGTGACTGATACTGAAGCTCATAAGACTTCTGTTGTTAAGAACTTCCTCTCAAATATTTCCACAGACTTGTTTTAAGCAGGAGATTCACACAGGTGCCACACATTCTCAGAGCATGTGCTGCAAATTGTCACTGTCACTTACTACTGACACTGTCTCGTTTCTGTCCTGTGCAGTAGTGGGTGATTGAAGGAGACATCTTTCTTTCATAAAGCAGAATTAGTGTTTATCATGACATGTGTAACACAGTTTGTGCCAAAGCTCTTATTGGTCTGGCATTTTTGCAAGTTGGGAATCCTTCCTGATTTTAAGAAGTTTTAAATTCAGAATTTTTCTTTTGGGCACTTAATTTCTATTTATTTATTTGTTTTTTTTTGTTTGTTTGTTTACTTACTGCATGAATCCTAGTGAGAAGGTTCTTTGAGTGTTTCCTGTGCTCACCTTTCTCTTTCTCCCTAAGGAGTGCTGCTGTCTCCATTACAGTACTGAACTGATTCTTTGCACTTTGACATGAAACTCAGCTCCTCGAAGGGCACGTTGTACTGATTTCCCTCTGCTTGGACAGTAAACAGACTAACAGTTTTTCCTGCAGATTATTAATAAGACACTAATTTTTACATCTAGCCTTCAGGTCTTTTCCCAACTAAAAACGTTTTGACACTACCAGTGTAATTCCTGACTGTAATCTCTATACTCTACACATTCCCCTCTGTGAAGCTGAGTTTGTTCATTTTTTAACTCTGCTGTGCCATTTCTCATGTAATGTCGCCTAACCTTAACACCCTAATCATGCAATTATCCATCTGTTGCAGGCTGCACCCTCTGACCCCGACACTGATGGGGTGGCTCTAGGTCACCGGTCTAAGCTTCCCATCCCTAACATCCCCTCCACCCTGGACAAGCAGACTAACTGGTCTAAAGCCCTGCCACTGCCCACCCCAGAGGAAAGAATGAAAAGCAATTCCCAAGTCATCACCTCATGTGTCATCCCCATTAATGTGACTGGTAAATTTATAACACTCACTGTTTTACTGTATGTCTGAAACTATTTATTGTGACAGGACAGATCTGTGGTTTAGATCTGTCAACCTTCTTTGTTAGCCCTTCCTTTTTAACCTTTAATTTTTCTGAAACAAAAAGTTTCATGTTTGGGTAAATATACTTATTCATGTTCTTGCTTAAAGTTAGAAGAGAAGACTGATCATAAGGACTGGATGCAAGGGGAAACAGCACCTCAGAAACTCAACATGATTTATTACCTTTGTTTGTACCTCAGCTAAGGTGTAAAAACAGCAAGGTGTGGTTGTCGGGGAAGTCATTACTCTCCATAAACCTCAACTTGCCCTCTTACATTTCTGTTTGTGTACGAATTAAACAAATGAGATATAAGGCAAGAAAACAAATAAGCGTTTCCAAACATGTCAAATGATACCTTTACTAATATGTCACACTTTAGTGAACATACAATGTGTTGTATATTACTGAGCTTTAGAGGTGCTGTACCAGGCTAGCTGTTTCACTCAGTTTCTGGTATTTATGCTAAGCTAAGCTAACCTTGTAGCTTCATGCTGTGCTAACAGACAAGAGAAGGGTGTCAAGTGTCTGAAATTAAGCAAAGAAGCCTATTTCCCAAAATGTCAAACTATTCTTTTTGAAACTGTTGTTTTAACACAGCTCCTGTGGTTGGATGTAATGTTAGGATATACAGTAGAGAAGCTGAGAGTCAAATGCATCTTGGAATGCACACAGTCATTCAGTTTTAAGTGTTAGGATAAGGATAATCACCTTTATTGGCCAAGTGTGTTACACACAAGGAATTTGTTTCCGATAGAGAACTGAAGCAGCCATCTGCAGCGCCAACTCAACCGATGGCTCTAACCATCGGGGACAACAGATCTCGGTGGATTGCAGGCACCGAGATTCAAACTTCCAACCTTCTGGTTGGGAGACAACTGCTCTAACCACCGCACCACTGTCGCCTCCCATTAGCACTTCCCAATAACACTAACAGCTGTTAAGTAGACTTTGTTTTCCCCACATTGCAAAAAATGTAAATATCAGCAAGGCATTTGGAAATTCTACAGTTACTTATAAAGACTTATCTTTACCAAAGGCATAATGTTTTAGCAAAATCATTCTCAATGTGCAAGTCATGCTTTGTGCCCCATTAACTTTCTTTCTCATGCTCAACACTTTGTGCCTGTGCAATTGTAAAGAGGCAAGTTGCTGTGACAGGCATGCCAATTAGCTCCGTCCGAACTGTTTAAAGGACTGCCTGATGTTCCACTCGCTCCAAGTTGTACGCCAACACCGTCACAGTCAGAGACAGTTGAGGGAGAAAAATGTGCATTGTAAGCAAAGACCAGTGATCCCTATGGTGCTCAAGAGCCTGACCTGCTATCACGTTAGTCATCAATTGTGGTGAGGGAGAGGCAGGAAAACAACAAGGAAGCACCAACAAAGCTTTCACAGTTAGGTTAGTTAAACCCAGCAACATTCGTGTCACTTGACTCTTTTGGATGTTTTGGGTAAGGCTCTTTTACTCCTTTGTTTTACATTTCCTGATGTGACATCTTTATATTAATCAGTATATATCCCCATACTCGTACTCCAGGCTCGCAGTTCGTCTTACTGTGGCTTTGAGTCCCCCACTCCTGACTGGTGTTTTTGTAGAATACGTAACAGGTTCTTTCACAAGACAGCGTGAGAGTTAAAGAAGGAACCACTGCAGACGCCACTAAACAAAGATTCCTCACATGTCCCGTCTCTGTTGCAGGGGTCGGCTTTGACAGAGCTGCTAGTGTGCGTTGCTCGCTTGTCCACTCGCAGTCTTTGCTTCAGAGGAGGAGGAAGCTGAGGAGGCGGAGAACCGTGGCTGGCATTCCCAGACAGGTGCAGCTAGATTTGGGTAAGTAATTTCATTTGGCTCAGCCTGTCAGTCACAAACACACACACATGCTCTCTGAAACTGAATTCACACTGCTGTTATTATAAAGGCAATGCTTATGTTATTTACTGTAATGTTTCACCTGATGTATGGTGTTAGTCAAACAGAAATGGTTTAGTGTTAGGGGTCTAAATTATTCTTTTAAGGTAATACTGCTAATAGTTATACAAAGTAATACTCTGCCTTTGTGTGATAAAATCTATCTCACATGAATGTATTGTAGAAAAAATGCTGAAAGACCAACTATTTAATAGATTAAATAAATATGAAAGACATCAACTAGTGACTGGAGGCATATCGTCAGTGTTCCTTTGTTGTGTTTTAAGGTATTTTGGGGCATTTTATGCTTCTATTAGATATGTGTGTGTTTTTAAAAGGGACAAATGCAGGGTGATACAGACATCTAAGACCTAGAAACACTATACTGTATAAAGAACAATAAAGTGTGCTCATTTTTAATCTGTAGTTGTATCCGAGTTTGGTGTTAGCATTTTCTGATCCTTGTCATCGCTGTTTTCTTCTCTTCTCCCAGACTCAGATGACTCTCCTGCTTCCAGAGAGCGGACAGTGATAGTTCACTCCAGTCCTGATATCACACCCTCCAATGACGAGCTGACCAGCCATCTCACCACCAGAGACTCGGGTTGCCAGACAGAAGACTTTGTGATTTTAGGAGCACCATCTCGGAGAAAGATCAGGGCACAGAGAGTCCAGGGAGTCTCCCTCTGCCTCTCCCGCTCTGCAGGCAACATCTCCTCCCTGCCGGACACTACCAGCACCATGTTCACTGCCTCTGTAGGCACTCGCCTGCGCTCCCAGAGCCTGCCCCGAGATGGGAGCCGGATAATGGACAACGGCCATAATGACAGTGATGATGAGGAGGAGCTGTCCCCCTTTGACACTGAGGACTTCCTGCCTGGACCTGGGGAGATGATTCTGAAGGATGAAGAGGAGAGCACAGACGACCAGGCCGTGTCTGAACACCAACTGGGCCTGAAGTACAAACAGCTGTCAGAGAGTGCAGAGCGCAGCTGGATGGAGAGGAACAGATCCCAGCTCCCCAGGAAGACCGACATGGGCAGCTGTGACATCTCATCCAGTTCAGACACATTCAGTAGCCCCGTCCACTCCGTCTCAGCTGCGGGGGGACTGGGAGGCCAGATGGACCATAAGGAGGATCACCAGTCCTCTAGTGGGAACTGGAGTGGGAGTAGCTCCACCTGCCCCTCACAAACGTCTGAAACACTCCCCCCTGCGGCCTCTCCACTGCTGACAGGCTCCTCACACTGTGACTCTGAGCTCTCCCTAAACACTGCCACTCACACCAATGATGATCAGAGCGGCTTCATGCTGGACCACTACCAGGGCCTCAGGACCTACCGGGCCAGCTCCTTCTCCTCCACAGCTATGGACATATTGGAGGAAGTAGGGGTCAGCACTCCCTCAGAGGGGGAGTGGAGTTACCCCCACCCAGAGCCTCCTCACTCACAGGACTTCAGCCCTGAGCCAAGCAGAGAGGCTGAGAGCAGCCTGGGCTGCCCCAGCTTCACCAGCATGGCCACCTGTGAGAGCAGCTACTCTGACAAGCCACTGTCAGAGAAGGCAGACACCGTCTCACACTATTCTGTAGACACTGAAGGGTACTATACCTCTATGCACTTTGACTGCGGTCTGAAAGGTAGCAAAAGCTTCACTTACAACTATGCAGCCTCCACCTCTGACTGTGGCTTAAACATGACCCTCGGCAGACGTTGCCTCTCTTTACGGAAACCAAAGGTGAAGCCGTGTCCACCTAAGAGGAGTTCATCCTTAAGGAAGATATGCAGTGAGGGAAACATCCCTGACAAGAAAGAACCAAAGATTACATGTGGGCAACAACTTCCACCGTCTTCCAAGGAGAGGAAATTGCAGCTGGCTTTGTCTGGATCTCAGGGTCATATAGAAAACAGTTGGGGGTGTGAAGGCTCAGCCGAGCTACCTGACTTAGGTGCGTTTAGCTCCACTGATGCACATTCATTTAAGGATGAAGGGGTTGTACAGTCAGACTATGCAGATTTGTGGCTTCTGAATGATTTAAAATCCAGCGATCCATATCGATCTTTATCAAACTCCAGTACAGCTACTGGCACAACTGTTATCGAATGCATCAAGTCGCAGGAAAGCTCCGAGTCACAGATATCCCAGTCCGGCTCCAGAGCCACCACCCCCTCACTTCCATTAGTAGAGGGAGACTTCAAGCTAACGTCTCCAGAGAAGCTAGCAGGTCTTGCAAGTCCATCGAGCGGCTACTCCAGTCAGTCAGAAACCCCGACCTCCTCATTCCCTTCCACCTTTTTTCCTGGACCGCTGTCACCATCCATCGGCAAGAAGAAGCCCAAAGTTCCAGAGAGGAAGTCGTCTCTTCCGTCAGTGTCCTGCAGCAATGGTGCCACCTCGAAGAGAGACCTGGAGTTGCCAATAATCCCTCCCTCCCACCTCGATTTAAATGCCCTTCATAATGTCGGCAACAAGGCCTCAGCTTGCAGGAATCAGATTCAAATACTTCTCCAAAACAAACAACAAGCTGCAGTGTCAAGCAGACCTGTAGAGGTCTCCTATGCCCATTCCATGTCTATCACCCCCACAGTGCTGCGCTCAGTACAGCTCCGACCCATCACTAAGGAACTTGAAGGAAGTCAGGAGGACAAAACAACTTCCAGACTAACATGTCTCACTATGAACTCAACAAGCCCACTATCCAGTAGTAAATCATTAGAACTTCAGAGTTCAGCGTTACACAACTCACATCATCATCACACATCTGTGGACTCAGTGTTTACCTCAAACGAAGAGTTTTCAGGTAGAGAAGCAGCATGTCAGAGTGAAACCAGGACCAAGCAGGAGAGAGAGGCTCTTTCAGAGAGTATGACAGGATTCAGACTGCAGTCAGAGCTGTCAGTCCCTGAGAGGACCACTAGACATGAAGGAGACACATGCAAAGCATCAGTAGAAACAGCCGTCTGCTCTGTAGACCCTAGCTCACAGCCAGAGCCTTTACATCAGCTGGGACCTGAGCCACCTGAAGAACAGACGTGCTCTGCTCCATCTCTCCTGCACAGTTCACTTGAAAGCTCCAGCAGTCTTGATGAAGTGCCTGCTACTGATGGCCAGTCAGAGTTGTTGCAAGAGAGTCCAGTCAGCAATGAAGGAAGGAAAGATGAGGAATGTGAGTCATCAGGTGTTTCAGCCCAAAGTGCCTCTCAGAATGGCAAGGGGGAGTCCCCCCCAGAGACCGAGGAGTATTTCAGTAAAGGTGTGTGTTTCACTTTGGTGCATGTCATGTGTCTTTTTACTTTTTTGTTGCCATTTTCCCTTTATTAACAGGTAATTGCATAGATAGAGACAGGAACCATGGAGGAAACAGAGACAGGTTATAACATGACACAAAGGTCCCCTGCTGTAATCCACCCATGGACGCTGTGGTTATGTGGCATGTGCTGTAACCATTAGACTACTAGGGCGCTCCATATTTGACATTTATGTACAGTAGGGGCTCACAACCCCCCACAGAACATGTGCTACTCTGTCCATTTCTAACTCATTACCAAGGTTACATATGAGGGGTCAACCAACAAAATTGTCAATCCAATAAACACACCACAGTAAAAAGGACTACAGAGTTTGTACATTTCGTAGAATTTTGTTGAATGACCTTATCAAGCTGAATCGGAGAGACGATGTGCCTGACAGGAGTGGAAAATGTTTTTAAATATATATATTTTAACAACAAAAATATCAATTTTTATATATAACTACTCTTGCTCTGATCTGTCCCTTGTTGCTTTTCTTGGATAGCTGTGCATATCTAAACTATTCAAATGAAACCATTTTAGGAAGAAGGATCACTCTTATAGTCAATTATAACTCATAGATACAGTATTACATTTTATGAGTGGTTCTAACTAGCTTTGAAATAATATAGTGATTAGTTGTTATTATTAATTGACCTGTGATATACTGTATATAGGTTAATAGTGGGGATTTTCTCTCTTTTCTAGATTATTTTAAATATCTATTATTTAACTATTTTAGAGTTTTGTACTGTCACTTGAACAAAAAGGAACCTGGAAGTTGACCTTTTTTACTTTTACTATTTTATAGACTTAACAATCCAAAATAAAACAACAAAAATAATCAGTGAATTAATCAGAAATTAAAACACTTCTACAGTATATTCAAGTGTTGGCTGCTTTGGGTTAACAGACTCTACACCCAGTGATGATGTGGGGTCCCCAATGACTGATGAGTCAAGGCCAGAGGATGACAGTGTGTTTCTGTCGCCCACCAAAGCTCGCACCACTGAGGACCTGTTTGCTATGATACACAGGTAAGTGTTTACAATACCTCCATATTCAATAGGTCTTTGTGTTTGGGTTGTGTACGTTTACAGAAATTCTTAATGCCATGTCTTCATTCTCAGGTCCAAAAGGAAAGTGTTGGGTAGAAAGGACTCCGCTGAGTTGGGTGTGAAGAACCGCCTCAGTGCTGCATCAGGGAACACACCACCCAGCAGCACTGTGAGTTCTCCAGTCTCACTGGTATCACCCTCCTCCTCCACTGGGACCCCACCAGGCCTGCAGAGAGTCTCCGGGCCCATCTACAGGAATGCAAAGAAGTCCAGCACCTCCAACGAGGAGTTCAAGCTGCTGCTACTTAAAAAGGGCAGCCGCTCAGACTCTAGTTACCGCATGTCAGCTACAGAGATCCTTAAGAGCCCCATCACTCCTAAATCACCTGTAGATTCTCTAATGGAGTCAGACAGACACCCAGAGGAGCTTGCCTCTCCTCTGCTAGAACAGCAGCATCATTCAGGGCCTGATCAGCTCTCCAGCGCCTACCCTAAAGCCAATACTGAGGGCTTCTCCCCAAAATCCTTCCCCACGTTTGCTGCTTCCAGACAGGGTCGTTCCAGGATCCCCCCACCTGCCAGCAGCAGCCGCTACAGCATGCGCAGCAGACTGTACTCGGCACCCATGCAAGCCATCTCTGAGGGCGAGGGCGAGAACTCAGACGGAAGCCCTCATGATGACCACTCATCACAGGGCTCCATGTAGAAAACTGTTTTTGTTAACAGTTTACAGGTAAAACACATGGACCAGAATGAGCTATAAAATATGAGATGTGGTGAGAGCAGGAGCACCGATGAGCCTAATTTGGTATCCAGAACACTAGAGATAAACCATGTTGGTATAAAAAACATCCATCGTAAATCTCTAGTTGTCTTTTTTCCTGGGAACACTTTAACCAAACGTCTGTTAAAAATATTTCATACACACTGTATTTCTTAAACAAAAAACATGTTCATGAACTGAACAGTTAGAATTAGAAACACTATAATAGGATTATTTAATCTGTAACTTGTACAAAAATATGATTTAAGAACCGAGATTACAGGAAAACATTATTCTACTTCAGTTCCACAGGGAAAAAAGACAGGATTAGTGGTTAAAAAACTATTATTTAGTTAGTTTATGGTACATTATCCAAAGTCATAGGCAAAATCCTGTAGACTGCCTTGCTTCAGCCCCACTATACAGTTTATTAATGTTTAATCTTAACTGTTCTGCTGTCAGATTTTTCTTGACATTTTTTATCAGTACCTTGTAGAAGACCATATGTATTCTATGAATACTTATGCAGTTAGACACAATTTGATCACTTCCTTGAGCCGGGATTATGTTAAGACCCCATCTGAGCAACAGGAGTAATACTGTGTGAGAAGATAAAAATATGACATCGCTTCATTGGGTGTAATGACTTTATATATTGTATTCAGTCCTTTATAGTAAATAATATCAAAACTAGCTTATTACTGCAACATTTTAAGATTCTCAATGCAATAAGATGAGCAGAGGTGAGACAGGCAACGTCCGAGCCCAGCATTGACTTGACAATCGCGGGAGACAAGGTGTGAGCAGGTGTTAACATGGGAGATGAAAAAGTGATCAAACCGTTGGAGGCAGTGATAAGGGAGAATGGTAGAAGACTAAGAGAAGTCATATATTTAAAAACAAAAAAGTACTAATGGTCATTTCCAGTTTGCTGACTTGATGGGTCTATGAATTGTGGAAAGAGGCAAGTGGAACGTGTTCAGGAGGATCAAATATGCCTTACTTCACTCAACAGGAGACACTAAGCCACAAAGCAGCTTTGGGCCTCAACAAGTTGAGTGTTTTTGTGAGATTTTTCAGTTTTGATGGAGGATGTAGGGTTAAATATGGAGCCGGATTATCCTCTGTGATGAAAAGGAGTTCTGGATTCAGTGATGTGGCATTTGCTGCTTTTCTGTACCAAATGCTAGTCCTGTTTGATCCCGATCAAAAAATGTTAATATTTTCTGATTCGCAACACTCTAAACATATTTATTTTTTAACTGACACAGAACATCTCTGCACACTCCCTGACTTACACCCATAAATAACCTAATAGTGAAATCTTTTAATGAAAGCATACAATGAATTGCTGGTACTTTTAATGACATATTTTAGTCCGATGCTTATTTTGTGTATAAGAGATAGGTTTTTAAATCTAATTTGAGACACTGGTTGCAGAGAAAAATAGGAAAGCAACTAATGTAATGAAATGTCATTAAAAGACAGCATAAACAGTCATAAGCTATAAGAGGTTGTAGTTGTAACCCTGGCATTCTGAAGCAGTTTTTGTCCCACAGATTCACAGTAATTTTCTAAGTAAATGGGGTTTATTGCAGGGATGGTACTCAACCATTGTGTAGCCATATTACCCCATTGGTACACGGTAAATAGCAGCTTTACTTTGGCCTTAATGAGACTCCACACTAATGCAATGATGTAACAGGGTACACATTGGGTTATGTCTGTGAACCTTCATTCCATTTTTTTTGCACTGATAAAGTGATGTTCGTGAAGTTTGATTAGTCTCTTGCTGTACCTGGAAATATTTATAGACCTTTACATGGAGCTGTTTGACTTTCCATGAACAATATTCACAGTCTGCTTTAGGAGTGGAGTAGATGCTTCTGCCAAAGGCTAGAACGTGGACATGTTAGTGCTTTTAATTTTCTCATTTACTTGACTGAAGCATGGACCGATACTAAGGAAGAATTACAGCGTAACGTATGGTACTAGTGCATTTCATTTCAGATCAGCCTCTCCAGTGTATCCTATAGGTAGATGTCAGCTTTGTATGTTTTTGTACAAACTTGTAAATACAATCACTTTTGTCACAAAGGCTATCGAAACGTTTCTTATGTAAAAAAATAAAGTTTTTAAAGTTTACATTAATTTCAAAACTATGTATATTTTTGAGCTGTGGAAGCCTTTATCTTGTATTTATTTTTAGTAAGCATTGTGGAAAACCCATCGTAAATCCTATCAAAGCCAACTGCGAGCACAACAGGTTGCTCAGCAAATGTGTGTAACAAGGCAAATAAATGTGACTGCTTTGAAAATGACTCTGAGTCTCTGGTGATGTTAATTGTTCTCATTATTAAGGTGTTATAATATAGTTTTTACTCTTATTGTTTGTACATATTTCAGGTATGTCTATTTAATGTAACTGTGTAGTTTTCCATTTAACTACATTTCAAAGAGGAAATACTGAACATTTTATTCTTCCCCTCCATTTATTTGACAGCTGTAGTTACTGAAGATTATACAGACAAAATACCAAACATATGATAATCTTATAATATATTATGCATTGCTAGTAATTAAACTATTCAGCTGTATACAAAATATGAGTTCCACCTTTATAACCTACAATAGTAAAATGCTGTTTGTGCACTAATGCATAATAAACAAAGTAATTAAGTAATAACTCAGTATTAGTATTATTCAGTATTACATTATCGACTACTTTTACTTTTAATACAGTAGATACATGTTATGTTAAGTACTTGTACACCTTTACTTAACATGGTTAATCCTGGACATTTACTTGAAATGAAGTATTTTTGCAGTGAAGTGTTTCTACCTTTATGTAAGTAAGGTCTTCCTCCAGCACTGCATGGTTCTCCTAACTTCAGTGTAGGATTTATGTGACTTTAACTTACAATAAAACAAACTGTCATCACAAGTGGTTGTTATTCTGTCACAGGAACAAAGAGTTTTTGCAAAGCTGATGGTATTTTCTGGCCTGCAGTATCAGCTGTGTCTCCGGGCCTTTAGGTGGCACAATTTGGTACAAACAGACATGATTATAAGATACTTTTCTCTAGATGGTAGAGGTAGGTTAGAAATAAATATATAGTTTAGGTGTATTAAAAATTCTCTGCATGAATAATTGGAGATCTGGTAAAAATGATCTTAAACAGCACTATACTGCAGGTTAATTTTGCTTTTATGAGAATAAACATACCATTCATTATACTGTATACCTCAGGCTGCACTAACTTAAATGTAACATCATCTGGTAAAGTCATAGCAGTAATACCTAAAGCGGGATTTACTGCAATAAAGACTTTTGACATTAGGCTGCTGCTGGCTGACATTCCACTTCTTTGGTCATGTGTAACATTGACCTTTATACAAAGTCCTCAAACTCCTTCAAAAATCTCTTAGTGTATTTCTTAGACACTTGCCCGTCTGTGACCGGATCCACACAAATGTGTATGTGCAGTAGGGCGCACAACGTAGACGCAAACCCAGAATTTCCTGAATTTATTTTTTTATTTGGTGAATGCATAACTAGCAACTAGTTGCTTCAGCTCTACATTTAATTACTAGCAGAGCTCCATCCAGCTTCCACCTGACTGGAGGTTTAATGAGGTTGCATTTCATTTTGTGGACAACAAAGTGTTAACCTGTGTTTATGAACCTTAAAATGTTTGTGTTTGGTGAAATTGTCATAAATATAAAATTCAATTCTATGTTTATTATTGAGGTCATAGTTAAAGCTGGTGTTGTACTGGACTATATATTTAGAGGAGTCTCTATATTTTTGTCCTCCCCAGCTATATACATGAAAGGGTCAGATTATTAGGAACACCTCTGAGTATAACGTAGTCCAGTACAACACTACCCTTAACTATGGCCCTGATAATAAACATATAATTCAATTTATACATTTATGACAATTTCACCAAAGCACAAACATTTTGAGCTTCCTAAACACAGAAGTTAAGGCAGAGGTGTTGCATTGAATTGGATACAATTGCACAGGTGTACCTAATAAAGTGACTAGTCAGTAGTACGTCACACATAGTGGTCTATGTTAACATTGGACTATTCATTCTACGTTTAATGAATAGCCTATAACATATCTGATGCTCTTGTCACACAATCCAAATAATGTTTGTTTTATAGACATTTAACAAACAAGTGAACCTGAGGCAGGAAGGGAAAGTGTGGATGAAGATGTGTGTGCAGGGACCTCCAGACATCACTGCACAATACAATTTCAAAGTAATTGGAGAATTTATATGTTTTGTGGCTTTATGGACAAATTGGTTATTATTATTTTTTTCAATTCATGATTTGTTGATAGACAGACAAATGATTTATTATTGTGAAATGCAGAAGAATGTGATACAGGGCCAGACCTTTACTCCATAAAAACATACTGATAATATTCTTTATGCATGTTGAAATAAATATTTTCATAAAGATTAATATATCTACATTTTTACCTTTAGCAGTAGTAGTTGTTGTAGCAGTAGATAGTGGAATAGCGGGCTGAGCAATAAACATTACAGAAAAATAATTGTGTGATTTGAGTTATGAGGGCCCTGTGCCCCAGTAGCGCTTTATGTCTAGCAACACCCCTGCTCTGGTTTATGTTTTTTTTAACAAAACTGTAAAATGGCAATAAATAGACACGTCACCGATTCTGAGGAAAATAATAAATCACCATGAGCTCCAGCATATTGTTCCTTCATCACTTCTCTCCAATGTTGCAATGCATCTAGATTTGTCTTAACTTGTTAAAGTGGCCCTGGTTCAGACTGTATAGGGTATATACCCATGGTACTGTGGGGTCTCACCCCTGTAAATGAAACAGTGCCTCTCATTCAAAATGAACACTAGAGGTTGTTCTTCAGCTGAATCCACAGGAGAGTGTCTACTAGGCAATTTCATGCAAATTGAGTGTAAATTTAAATTAGGCCTCTTTGTGTCCTGGCCAGAGAAATAACACAGCTGTGAGGGTTTTCTTTAACTTTCCAACAGGTCTGAACTTGCTCCCCTCTATATAACAGACTCAGCTCTTAACTGTAGTTACACACAAGTGCTTTCTGCATGCGTTATGCCAGTTCCACGGCTGTGCTCCAACATCAAAGTCAGTGTGAATTCTCTTTATCACTCTGGCTAATGTCAAACCGGCCTGTGACGGACAAAAACGCCTTGTTCTCACACATGTCAACTGGGCTGACATTGTAAGTGAAGGGAAAAAAAGGTAAACAAAGGCCTAGATTGTTGGGTGTCCCAGGCGATCACCCATCAAAGGCCACATTGACCTTGAACCCTGACCTCAATTAACACTGGAGGCGAGATGGCTTCGCATGAGCAGTAGATGGTGTAAAAATCAAGTGTTTTTGCTCTCACAAAAATGTATGACAACAGTGACATGTATAATGTGCTCATATGGAGACTAAAATAGAGATATGGTGATTAATGGTCCAATTTACAGCACATAAGCATGAGCAACTGTTCTACAAGCGTTGTTGATTGACATCAGAGGTGTTTTTATGCACAGCAAGGTTTGTATCATTACTGTACAGTATGTGCCAGCTGACTCTAAAGAGCAGCTAATATTGTAAAGGCCTTATAAGCAAATGTCTGCCCCACCTGACTTATTTTAGTCCGATCATAAAGAACAGGGACGTAGGCAAGCAAAGAATACACTATGCTTCTCAGCACTCTCTGGTTGCATATGTAAGGGACTGTAAAAAAAATTACCAATCAAGTAGGAGAGGGGGAAGGTAGTGTCAGTTTTAGTTTTGCTGAAGGAAAGAAGGGGGCTTTTGTTTCCCCCTGACCCATATTTATATTTTATTTTGGCCTTCCTCTGTGAATTTTTTTATAAAAAGGTTTTTTTAAAGAGCTCAAATTATTGCACGTTGGCCACAAGCCAAAAGTAGGTTTCACCCTTTACAGAGGTCAACCCACCTGTCTCTATAAAGGTGTGTTCAGAAAGTGAATCAAATGTTTTGTCTTGCCATTCCCACAGACATTTTCAACTTGTGTGGACAAAATTATAGCCCTGAGGATGGTCTTGCCCTTTTTTTTATTATTTATAAAATGAACCAGGAGATTCAGATCCCTTGTCCAGTCCCTCATTTCAAAGGACAATTAGAAGACCTGTGGGGGCTCTGTTTTAAATTTAGGTTGTGGGTGCTGGTGTCCACTCAATATGAAATGACTGGTAAGTAAAAATGTAGGATCATTCTGCCTTTGTATAGTATTTTGTAACGTTTAGTGACATGTTTTTCCTGGACCAGAAAAAGTGTATGACAAGAGTGACAATGTTTGTGTTTCTATCTTTGGTTAAGAAGTGGAAATTGGATTGGTACAGTGTGAGAACAACACAAGCTGAGCTGAATCTCCACATGTGAGTACTGACTGTAGACGGGGTGGGGGCAGGGCCACTGAAAAGGTAACCACACCAATGTCACCACCATGCCACTAGGGTATATTGTGAGTTTCATTATAGGGAATTAAACAACCTCCATGCAGAACAATGAGAGGCCCCATGGCCCCGGGGTGCAGCCTAAGGCTGGTTGGGACTGATATGAAGACCCAGGGGATCTTGCTCACCCAGGCCTGTCTCCACCAGACTGTCATCCACAGCTGCCAAGCTCCATTCTCCTCTGCTTCTGTCATCAGCCAGCTAATACTGTCTGAGTACTACTGAGTACTGTTTAATATTAAAGAATGAAATACTGTCTAAAAGCCTTTCCAGCACTCAGAAATCATAAAGTATTCCCAAAATGGTTCTGCTGGTTATGGTCGGGATTATTTTAGTCTGTTAGGGTGAATGAGTTGTATAACTGTCATTCACACACTGCACACCACAAGGAACATTATAGGCTACTGAAATAAACCTAAATAAATGTTCTTTAATTACAAATTTCTCCATGCAGTGTAAGATGATATGATTATATACCTTCCTATAGCCAAAGTTCTGGGTTTGAAATTGAAATAATAATCCACAAATTTGCAAGACAATTTAAAAGATTTAAGGAAACTGAACTTAGCAGATTTCCGTTAGCAGTTATATGGGATTTAATTGCAAGTGTATCAGTGAATACCTTTATTTTGCCCTTTGAAATGTATCATTATTATTCATATTGTTTATCGAAAATCAGTCTTCATTTATTTGTTTTTCTTGTTTCCCCATCTTTCCCTGTGGGGAGAGGAAGAGGAGGAGGAGGAGCAGGAGGACCCGCTGACGATGCTGCGTGCGCAGCTTCAGTCTGGAGTCGCTACGACGGGACCGCAATGAAGAGATAATAGCAGCCTTATCTATTTATTTCTAACTATTACGGATCTCATTCATTGATAATTGGGAGGACGCGGCCTTCTGGGAAAGCTGCTAATGCGCTCGTCTGGTTGAAAGGTGAGTAAATGTCGGCGTTTGTAGCTACATTGGATTTTATTGGAAGAATTACATTAAAGGAAAGGAGATGAAACAGGGTGAGACAAGGCTTTTCTGATTTTACGTCGCCTGTGCGCTGAAACATTATTTCGTTTTAACATTAGCACGTGGATTATCTGGGAATTATTGAGCGAGTGTCGTGTCTCGCTTTAAGGCGTATTAAAAGCCCTTTTCCAGTGTCATGGGCGACGTGCGCAGCTAGCTTGTATCTTGAATAGCGTATTGTTTGTCTGTTCATCCCTTTTCAAAGGGAAACTTCAGTGATATCAGGCAGTGATTTGGCACGAGGACCCCCCTCTGTGCTACTGTCGTTATAGCAGCGGAGCCTCGCGCGCCCGCAGCCCTTCGTGTTGTCGCCGTGTGGCGCGTGCAGACGTGCGCACACACGGCGCACAGCCTCCCTGCTATTCATGGCGCATATCTGTCTGGGAGAAATGTCACCAGTGAAGAAATCAGGGAAATGTCGTCAGTCGCACTCGGGGCTTGTTGGAACAGCCTGGGGATGAGCGTCTGTTGGTGCGCTGGCAACAGACGCAGCGACAGAACTGGAATAAGGAAGCAAACGCACAAACATTTCTACACAAACACTCTTATATGTGTCCGAATGGTGGGTTTATTCACACAGCTGAAAAACATCGCAACCTTTCTAGTTTCTAATGTTTCTAATCTAATTTCTAATTTTGAATGGGTAGTTTGTATACAGGGAAACTGTGGATGTTAATGACAGAAATATAGTTTATATACAGTACAGTACATTATCATGTTGCTACTGGTGTCATGTAATACAGTTCAATGATAAAATGTCACCATTTCGGTAGAGTTTCTCATTCACAAACTGGGTAAAGTAGTGACTAGTAGTTGCACAGTGATAACTGTCCCACTTGTGTTCATTAGAAATGGTAAATTATTCATCAAATACGACTGTTACTGTGGCATGTAGGAGATCAGGTGGAGGGATAGCTGGCTGAATAAAAGATCATCTGCACTGATGTGGGAGCCGCATGCATCAGTCTAAGGATGTGACGCTCATGATGAAGCTTCCTGTGTCTCCCTAATGAGATGTAATTGGCCACTGGAGCAGAGGGGTGTTGAGGGCGGTGACCTTTAGATCATCTGCCGTGCGCCACCCATCCCTGGTGCTTTGTTTCATTCTGGTTAAATCTCTAAATCAAATCCATAACAAGGAAGGAGCAAAGAAAGAAATGTGTTTGGACTGCAGTACAGTTTAATGCCACTGAAGTTAAAGCATTGTTGTTTCTCTCTGCTGACTTAACGTGGTGTACATTCCATCAATGAAGCAAAGAGGGGGGGAAGGAAATGTGGAAATCATTACAGTAACGGGGACAGGGGAGGGATTTCATTTGCCTCTTTGTTAGGTCTCTTCTTGCCTATTTACTCAATTATCTGTTACTGGCTGTTGAACACAAACCTCTTACAGATGATGTGTGGAGAGTTACAGGCGCCCTCGTGTAGCCGGCCTTATCAGTGTTAGGTTAAAGCTGCATTCACTTGGTGACAAGGTTGTAGGTTTGTTTGTGTTGCATGTCTCTTACGTTAGCTCGTGCTTAATGAAGGCTGCTTTACACTGGTGTTATTTTGAGCAACCTAATCTGCAAACTCTTCTCACATGTGAAAATGGGGGAGATACAGCGTACTGAGTGTAACCTAAAACTATTTATGGAAATAAGGTTGTGTTTTGTTTTCTTACAATTCTCAGACCCTATTGCCCGAAAGAGCCTGAAAGATCAGCTTTACACTGGTGCATCCAGGCCGTTAAAGAGCTGTTAGATTTAGCTGGAGGAGCCGGTAGCAGTTCATCTTCTCTGTTTGACCACAGGGACGTTGCTTATATAAGTCGACTGGAATTTTGGAGGACAGGAAGAACACCTAAAGGCACGGATTTAACTCCCCGGCAGCACTTGAGCAAAAATCTAAAAGTTATTTATTGACACTTATGTGACACTGTTCTTTGACCTTCCATGTCTGTGATAACAAAAGCAGAGATAGTGTGACAGGAAGGGAAGAAAACAAAGATGAACATGGTCTCTGTGTACTTTGGCCCACTCTGCACTTTGTTGGTTAAACTTCCCCCTTGTTTGACATTGAACTCACATGATTCAAGTGAAGAGGAGGTGAAGCAGTGAGCTGTGAACTGCTATGCTTGTGTGTGTCGGGGGTGGGGGGTGGTCCTGCTTAGCATCAGGTCACCTGATCTGAAGCTGAAGACTCAGAGTAATACCCACTAATAGTACTTTTATGTCAAAGCATACAAAGTGGTTTCACGTCGAGCAGAATGATTAAATTGGGCTCATTATCAGGGTCATTTTCCTCACTGTGTGCACACAAGGGCCCACCCATTAGAGAGTGTGACAGTGGAGGAGTCTTACCCAAGAAAGACTTCTTTCATATTGGTCAGTGAGCCTTTATCGTGTCACAGACCTCATGACCATGTTATCAAGCAGGAAATGTCTTGCCTCAAACTTCCTGGAATGCAAGCGAGACCACAGCATTAAAATGGTGGAAAATAGAATAGATCAGACGTTCCTATTTGGCTTTGCAAACGGTGTATTAATGTCCAGTTTTAAATCAAGACATTCGATACAGTTTTCCTTTTCCTTACAGAAAGGAGTTTAAATGAAAGAAAAGTGGGGTATTAAGGCTAATAAGAAAAGAATCTTTTGCAGCAGTGCTCATGTGTATGTGCAGTATGTGTGTGTATAAGGCAGATTTATCCCCATGCCTTTGGTTGGATTCTTGTGTCAACAATTTATCCAAGTAGTTTTGTCTGGTCTGAGATCCCATGACTTGCAGCATGAGCTGTCCCACAGCAGTGTGTGTGGTTCATAAGTCTGTTACATGCATGTAGACAAGCCTGACCTGCCGGCTCACCACTCAGAGAACCGACACATTCCTCCCTGACCCCTTGAATGCCCGACAACTCTGGACGGTACTGACAGGGGAAGAAGCACAGAAGCTTCAAGCTATAAATACATAACATTTTTCATGGGGTTCCTGTTTTTGTATTCCCAAGGCACACACACACTTCCCAGACTTTTCCCATGAGTGAAACGGTAACAAGGTTATGGGCCGCCTGTCTGATAGTAGAGTCCTCCTTGTAATCCGTCATAGCCCTTTAACAATGCCTACAGAAAAATATCAAACCAGCCTCGGGGGGTAGAGGGCTACGCCTCACTGCTCACTGAAGTAATCCAACACCACATGAAGGCTGTATAGGAAAAAGAAAACTGTTTTGCCAGAAAATCGGAACTGCATGTGTGTGTGTGTGTGTAGCAGAATTTTTCACTTTGCGTTAGTTTCACATTATTGAAAGTTTCCCCCCTTCTCAAGACTTGAACATATTATCCTCTGTGCTCCCGTCAGTATGAATTATTGACCTCGCCAAGCCTGAATGCATTGTATCTCCAGGCACCAAAGGGATGCGTTATCACTATGGATGGATGAGGGTTGACAGCCAGTGCAGGCAGGACATGTGTTGTGTTGGAGGTGTCATGTAGCAAAGAGGAGAGTTAAAGCCTATCAACTGCTGGGATGCTGTCCTGGGATGATAGAGAGATAAAGTACATACATGGTGAGCTTGAGGGATCGTGGTCAGGCAAATGAAAGACTTCCCATCCTTGAGCTGCATGTGACTTATTACCCTGGAGTCCTAAACCAAAGGAGCTCCCCGGAGGAGTGAGGACTGCATGGATAGTCAAATGAAAAAGAAATGCTGGCAGTATGTCTGTAGTGTAGCGGTTGACAATAAGCACTTGGATATGTTTTTGCTGGTATATTTGTTGGTTTGTTACTAATTAATCTGTAACTATTTTCTTGAATAAATTAATCAAGAAATCAGGTCAGAAAATTGTGGAAAATGTTTCCAGAAGAGCAGTCCAGGTTATTGTCACACAAGACAGAGAAAAGCAGCAACTACTGACTTTTAAGAAGCTGGAGACAGAGAATATTTGTGCTTGAAAAATGACTTGAACAACTGATCATCATAACAGTTAAATTTTCTGTTGACTGACTAATCAAGGGCTGCAGCTAATGGCTGTTTTCACTATGGATTAATGTGCCAGCTGTTTTCTTGATTAATCAACTAAATGAGTAGTACAGCCCGATTGCACATTTGACAGTGAGCAACTTTTCTTTAGTGACAAGTTGTTACCTCAGACTAAATGTGGTTTTTTTAAAGGGTCACTCCTCTAATTTGGGGGAGGGGGAGTTCCTCTTAGCCCCTGAAACCTGTCTCTCCTTTGTGGCTCTGTCTGAGAAAAATATCTTTTTATCTGCTGCTCACAAGTCCCCATATTTTATGGACTAAGTCAATATGACAATAAGTTGCTTTTGAAAGGTATTTTGTTTCAGCTTAATTATTAAAATTCACATAAAGCCATTCATAATGCTCCATGTAAAGAACACATTTCTAACATGTCATGTTAGTCCTTCCTGAGCAGCGTTAGACAACACAGAGCAGGTGTCCTTCATGTGACGTCACTTGGGACAAATTCCTGTGAATTCTACAGCACCATGCAGAGCTACGTGCAGGATGTTCCACATTATAACAAATTGTTGAAATTAATGCACAACATTAAACGTGGTGTTTTCCTGTGTTTCAGGGCTGCTGTGTAGAACAATGGATGAGACCTGTCACTAGCACTTGAGGAAGATTTTAATTGATGCTTCAGGCTGAAACATGGAGGGCAGTGATGACGTGTCTGTAACCCTGACGCAGCCCCACGCTGACGTGTGCAGCACCGTGGTGGGAGGAGGAGAAATCACCAGTAAAGTGGAGGATGGAGTAACTCCGCTCATGGCTGCTGATTCCTGTGACAGCAGCGCGTCAGGGCTAAACAAAGGGGGCCTCTCTAGGCTCGTGGAACCTCCTGCACCATCAGTGATGAGTCCCAATCCTGAAACTCCAGGGGGTGTGGCGCTTAAAGTAGCCACAACTGTGCTACACCCAGTGTGTCTGGGGGAAAGCCCGCTGATGCTGCCCATCCACCTCCAGATGGCCGGAGCGTCCGGACCTCAGCTCGGCCAAATGGGTGCAGCACCTTACTTGATAACAAGCCAAAGCCCTGTTTCACTTCCTCTGGTCTTGGATCAGCAGGTCATCCAGCACATGAGTCCTTCTGTAATTCCTCAGACCACTACTTGTCCTCAGTTACCGCTCCAGAACAACATCCTGTGTCAGAATCCCCTGACATTTGGTTTACCTCCAGCTGTCGACCAGAAGCAAGCAGGACAAGCACCAGATGCTAATTTGCTCTCTCTCTTGCAGAATCCAGCTTTTGCAGCCATCTTGCAGGACCTCTTCCCTTCCCAGGCAAGCTCGTCGGCCTGTCAGTCACCAGGCTCGACCATCTTCCCACTCCCTCCCCTCACCCCTCCCTACACCTCCCCTCTGGCCCCATTAGCCCCCCCTGCCACACTCCTCGTCCCCTACCCTGTCATCATCCCGCTGCCAGTACCTCTGCCCATCCCCCTGCCCATCCCCATCCCTGTCCCTCATACTGAGGACTTAAAGGGGAACTTGCCAAAACCAGTTTGCACTGTGAGCAAAAGCACTCAGACCTCTCAGAAAGATGCTACCTCTCCTTCAATTTCGTCAAGCAGATGTGTGCCATCATTCCAGCCACAAAGCCTGCCACCATCTTCACTTCCTCCAGATGAAGGACAGGCTCTAGACCTTTCTGTCAGGGCATGTTCAGTTGAACCAAAACAGGAATACCCCAGCCCGCAGCAGGACAGTGTGCTTGACTTGTCAGTGCCTGGTGTGAGGAAAAAGTGTGTTCAGCCATGTAGCTCCAGTGGTTCACCAGGACGAAACAGAGAACTGTCTTTCCAGTCAGTCCAGGATACCAGTGGTACTTCTTTGTCTCTGGGTGTTGAATGCACCCAGAGTTTAGACTCCAAACTCCTGAGCAGCCTGGCTTCGCTGGAGTTCAGCCGACAGCACAAGTGGGTGGTTGACAGCAGTGCTGGTGGGTCTAGCTCTCTGGGTCCGGAGGCATCTCTCAGCAGAGCCGGAAACCTAGAGATAGTCAGCACCTCGCAGACGGCCAAGGTCATTGTCTCTGTGAAGGATGCCATCCCTGCCATCCTCTGCGGGAAGATAAAAGGCCTCTCAGGCGTCTCCACCAAAAACTTCTCCATCAAACGGGACGGCAGCCAGGGGGCGTCTCTGCAGCAGCTCTACGGAGTGTCGCCGGCCTCCCAGGGGGAGCAGCATGACCCCAACGACCCACTGAAAAAGGTCCCTAAAAGCAGAGCTATCAAACTGAAGAAGGTCAGCTCACAGGAGATCCACTTCCTTCCCATTAAAAAGCAGAGACTGGCAGCACTGCTCCCCAGGAAGTGAGAGTGCTCTTGTGATCCTTCTGCAATGTGTAACATAAAACATGTGGGGACACTAATCAAACTCTTACACTTATATGTCAAAGCTCAGAGTTTGGCTGCAAATGTTGAGGCTCATGAATGTGTGAAGGGGTGACACGGGGGAGAAATGGTTTCCATCTGAACTTTCTAAACTGCTGTGCTTTTCTGTAGTGTTATACTAAAACAGGATTTTTTTTTTGTGTATGGCAGCTTAATGGGCTCACCGTGTGGTCTTGGAAATTGTCCTTATAAATCTGAGATGTGGAAGAACACTTTTTGACTTTATAATTACAGAAAAGACACATGGGTTCCATTTTCCCCTGTATTTCACGGGTTGTTTCCACATGTAATTTTATTTAAGTGCACTGAAGCCCTTAAAAAGCTGATAGCTGAGGCTCTCACTGTTCAGGGCAGGATGTGATGGAGACTGTTTATACATGTCCCATCCTTGGAAATTCCCATAGTCATCAGTAGCTTATTGGATCTTTCTTTGCTGATTGGTAGGGGTTTAGCATGACAGACTAAGAACGACTTGGCAAGGCTGCAGCCGCAAGTTCATTAAAGTGAATGTTGTCAATAGCCATCAGCTGCAACAAAATACACTCTTATTGTGTTGAATAGCAGAGGGAAAAGGGAATTCTTAATTGTTTTCAAATTTAAACAACTTTCTGCAAGCCTGTCTAAATATTAGGAAAGTATTTCTGGAACAAGATATTTTTGAGAAACAATCTGGCTGAATCTGCCTCACAGCAAGTAGGAGACATTATAACCTTGTGTTGTTTCCATTATTAGTAAGTGAAACTAGGCGGAAGTTTTAATATTGGTTTCACCATTTAAATCAAGGGGAGATGAAGTTTTGAGTGCTTTAGTCTGTTGTTAGAATCAGTATTGGTCAGAGTCCCCACACCCCTTTATCAAACATGTCAGTGGTAAAACATTTTTGTATTCCAAGTGGTTTGGTGTCATTTTAATTGTTTTGAGGAGCGTGGTCTTTTTCTCTCCCATGGTGATGATCAGAGCTGTGAATGCGAGAGTATTGTGTCGTGTGTCAGTTTATTTATCCTGTCGCGTGCACTTTGTCATAGTTTAGTTGAAAAAGTTACAGGGTGCCCTATCTCTTCTTCTAAGACTGTGTTGCCCCTGTGACTCACAAACCAGGAACTAAGAGGTGGTGTTTTTACCAGCATCTTTTGGTTTGTTAGTTGCTGGTCACTTTGTTCACAGCATAACTCAAAAAAGTAATGAATGGATTTTGATGACATTTTTTTGTTGAGGTAGGGTACGGCCCACGGAACTCCCCATTAGATTTTGGCACTGATCCAGATCATCATCCAGATCCATGAATTCTTTAAATGATTCTTCACCAGTGTCAGATAGGGCCAACTTCAGTACTTTTGCTTCCAACTCCATACATAATGCCTAGAATGCTTGGACAAAAATTGCACATAAGATCAACCACACAACAAAGGATCCAAGTAATGTTCAGATCTGCTGAAGAATGGTCAAATGTAGAGGCCTCATGGAAAACATGTGACTGTGAGAAAACAAATAATGTTACAGACTTAAAACCAAAACCAACATGTAGCTGAAACTCTACTGATTCAGCAGGGTGTCCATAGATTTGACTTATATTCAAAAGTTACTGAGCCAGACCCTGAAGAAAACCACCATTAGTGAAACATGGTTTTTCTTGAATAACTTTCAAACTAATAATGATATCAATGTGAGTGAAAATGCTAGGGGTAGGTTGTCATGGTGAAGGAATCGTATTATGGGGGTCAAACTACCATGGGAAATTAGCGTTAGGCATTATATGGGTGGAGGTTTGTGCTCTGAGTGCCGTCTAGGTTATGTTAAAGGACTGGAGCAACCCCAGCACATCATCCTTGAGTTGCCTGCACTCCATTCAAGACAGAACTCTTTGGTTTATAGTTTGAACTGATCACTTTGGTTGAACAGGATTTCACCCTAATTTATTTTTGTACAACTTTTATTTATATGGTGTGTATATGTCCTGGAGTGTGACTGAATATTAAAAAAACAGCTTCCTTTGTAACTGTCAGTCTGCTGAAGCACTTTTTTGCTTCAGAAAACTTGTAATTATGATGTCAGTGAAGAAACATGAAAAGCTGGCAGTTTAATGTTTGCTTACTGTACAGGTTGTATGCTTTTTATATGGAAGTGAAGTAACATCTCCATGGTCTAAATCTGCTTGTCTGTCTTTTCCTTAAACAAAGTCCATTCTAATCTCAACGCTGTGTTTTTTAATCCGTTTCATTACTATCATTACTATCAAAGAAGCGCTTTCAGTCTCATGTCAGGTCAGTGACTGAAAGCCAAACAAGTGGGAGTCCACTTGCTTGGTCCTTTAATTGGTCTGGGATTTAAGAGGATTCAGTGCCCGGATGCCTTATAAGAACAAGGGATGTTTACAGTTATGTTCAGTACACACATGCTACATGAAGCGTCAGTGATGTAACAAATTGCCACCCTAAAGTGTACTGATGTGCAAATGACTTCATCTCCTGTAGTATTTCAGTTATATATACAGTTGTGCAATTGGACCACATTTGATATAACAGTGATTTACTGAGTGAGGCTTGTGGGGTCTTGAGTCCAAGCTAAACAGCAGTGTAGACCTTTAGTGTTGACGTTATTTTTTGTAAATTAACCTTAAAGCATTTCAATTGAAGACGTGGTAGTAGTACAAAAGAGGCCCAATCAAACTGGCTTCACTGTATTGTTCAGAGAGAGAATGCATTCAGTTTCTGGATACAGTGTGAAAACAAAATTGTTGTGATACAACTAATGTGATCAATCCTTCTTTTTTCAAACTGTTTTGGCAGTTATTTTCCTGTATTTCATGTCATAAACATAAGCAGGTTCAGGGACAAAGACAAAATGTCAGAAACTACGTGAAGAGTGAAAATGCTGGACTTTGGAGTAATTCTTACACTGTGCAGTTCTTGTGTAAAGCTCTTGCTTTCTATGAAATGGACGACTGATTTCCTTAATGAGTTGTCCAAATCAGCCACACCTGTTGTAGGTAACACAACAGACCTCTATAAACCACAAAGAATTAAGCTACTTTGTGCCTCCCTGTGGAAAAACGTAAGAACACATAAAGATCCTTTGGTTTTGGGAGGTTTATAAAAAAAAGAAAATACACAACATCATAAACACCTATCTGATGTGACATAATGGACAAGTGTCTTTTTGAAACATATTTTTCAAGTACTTTAAAAGATGCAAAAGAAGGAAATGAACAGCACTTTGATCCTGTGTTGAATATTATATGGCACAAGTCTTTAAATCAAGGAAGTGAATAACAGGAAAATTCTGTTAAGTATCTTATAAACAGTATGCTACAAAATTTTGTACTAACAAAGATCACATAAACCTGAGAAATGTCATAGGTAAAGCAAGGCAGATTCTAATACTGGGAGTATTTGAACTAAAAGCGTTGCAGTATGCATTAAAAAGCAGAACAGAATCCACTGTGAGATATTCACCCCATCCCCTTTATCTTCACATTTCTAACTTGTGTATATGAGCTCCTTAAAATATTAAAGTTTCTACAAAATGTACATTCTGTTGCTGATACTCATGGTTAAACCCATAAAACTGTACACATCTGTTTGCTAACAGTGATTGTAACGGTCAAAATTGACAACACTGATGTTGCAGGCTGAACAACAAGCTTACATGACTATGATAAAAACATTACATCAAAATTAGACCTAGAAAGCCCTTAGAAATCTCGCATTTGTATTTCCTTAATCTGTTCTCTGAAATGTATTCAGCCATAACTTATTGGGATGCAACCAGTTTAACATTGATTAGAACTGCATGGAGACCAGTAAGAGGCAGCATAAGGCCTGCTAAGACACAATATTACATCATGCCAGACAGCGGGCAATGATCCTGCAGCACACTTGTGGAAAAGGTGAGATTCAATTAAAAACAGAATCCAACATGGAGTGAAAACTGCAAAACAACAGCACAGGAGAGAGAGTGTCCAGGTTTTACAAAAAGAGCATGGGGATCTGACTTTTTTTTTTTTCAGTATACCAACCCTTCCTTATTAACTGGAAATTCAGGAATACTAAAAACATTATATAAGAAGAAACATTCTCCATCTTTGGGGATCCAAAACCAGGATCAAAAGTTTTCATCTTCATAAAAAACATGTCCACGTGTGCACATGTGCTATGCAATGTAAACACTACAGGGATTGTTTTCCTTTGGGATCTCATAAAGTCAGTCGTGTCTGTTAGACTTGAACAGCTTCTTGTTCACTGATGAGGGGATGAGGTAATGTGTCAGCACTGCGCGGCACACTTTCTCCACTCAGGAAGTAAGGATCAAGTCATAATGTCTATTCCGTTCCTTGAGGTGGAGTTTGGAGTCACATGTATCCCCTATGTGCCTCACGAGTCAGTGTCCAAACGCTGGCTTTCTCAGGGCTTATTGCTCACAGGTCTGGCTGGGACCATGCCGCCCAGGCTGCATGTTACAGTTTGCCTTGTTTCAGCTTCTCTATGTGGTGGCACAACTTCAGTGCAGGGCCCAGCTTTAGACCCATGTACTTCATGATCATGTCGCTCCGTAGCAGCATCAGAGCTTTTCCATCAATCTCCTGTAAAAACAAAGAACGGGATTTATTATAATAAGAAAACAGACAAATGATCTATAGTTACTAAAGCTAGGAATATACAGAAAAGATGGTTGCTCAACTTACATGTTTTCTGAATAGTTCAGCATGTGGAGCTAATGCTGTGGGGTCAGCATCCCTCACAAACTGCATCACCTCTTCAATGGACCAAGAGGAGGGGTTTTTACTGGGCAGCTGCAGGCTCTCTCGGTCAGACCCTAGAGCCTCTGGACCTGTGGTGGAGCTGGCTGCTGCCAAAGCAGAGTAGACACACTGAGCACCAGAGGCAAAGGAGAGTATTTATATATAGTTACACTGATAAATTCTTTCTGTACCTTCAACTCGTCTGAGAGGCTGTGTGGAGCTGAGCTCTGCATGGTTAGAGGAGAGGCGGCGCAAGGGTGTGCTGTTGCCTGGATGGTTCCTGGTGCCGGCCTGAGGGTGGAACTCTGAGGAACTCCGCACCATTTGCGGTCGAGGGGTCATGGAGTTGGACGCTGAGCCCATGTAGCGTTGCTCTTTTATTAGGCCGTTCTCCTCATAGGGCAGGGTCTCTGCTGGAGAAAGGAAAACACAAGTGACATTCAGATATTTTTCTATGAGACAATTTTGAGGACAAATATGTATGCCATGAAAGTACATACAACATCCATGTACAGACAGCAACCAAGAGCAGACGTTTACTGCTCCTGTCTGTTCTACGATTTTTCACATCTTCTACATTTTCAAGTCTTTGAACAAATTCTACAACTATTAAAATGCCTCCAAGAGGGAAAAGAGCTAATAAATCAGAAGCGAACGAGGATGTTGAAGCAGAAGAAGATTATATTTCAGCGGCGCAAGTAACAGAGATGTTGAGTCAGCAGAAGCAGATGTACACCGCACTGTTGAACGAACAACAAGACAACTTCAAAGGTTTTGTGCAACTACTTATGGAGACAAATAACAAGAGACTCGACGACATGACCAGAGAAATACAGGAAATAAAAACAAGTTTGCAGTTTACCCAGTGAGATGTGGATGTGATTAAAGCAGCCATGGGTGAACAGAAAATACAAACCAAGGAAACAAGGGATGATGTCTACAAAACCTGTGAGAGTCTAATAGCCATAACGGATAAAATGGAGCATTTGGAAGTACAGTCCAAGCGAAAAAACCTGATCTTCGAGGGAATCAAGGAGTCAGCTGGAGAAAGCTGGAAAGAAGCAGAATGTAAGGTGAAGGAAATATTAAAGAAGAAACTGCAAATTCATCAAGAAATTGAGATGGAGCGGGCTCACAGAGTCGGGAAACCTTCTGAGCGGGGGCCGAGGGCGGTGATGGTAAAGTTGATGAAAGAGAAAGATAAGGCACACATACTGCAACAAGCAAAGAAGCTTAAAGGATCTAACATTTATATAAATGAAGATTACAC